CTGGATGATCGAGCATGCATCGAGACATTTCTTGTGAACGCTTTATTTATTTATAGCTACATTTTTGAGTGTCGTTGAAGTTTGCTCACAATCAGCAAAACATCCAACACAGAATGTGTTAAAAATGACGCTGCTGGTAACAGTATTATCAGAACGTCAGTATCTCACTGCAAACTGACACTTCTTCAGTCACTCTGACAGCAGGACTTTACTGCTGTGAAGGAACAATGTGTTTATAGCACAAGGGTGTAACCTTAAAGCAGTGTTTCTCAAATGTGGTACCAGTATCCCTGAGGGAACTCCAATTTAATATCCTTGTTTTCAGTACAGTCGTTAACTGCTGTAAAACCTCACACAAGAAGAAAGCAATAAACACAATCACACCGGCTGTGAGCAGGAGGCCAGCTTCTAATATTTTAATGAAAAAAAGACAAACTCAATTTGTGGTTGAAATGCAGCAGCTGAAAGCGCGAAGAAAGAGGTGATACACATATTTGTGTTTGGCCTCATTTCCTGTAACGACTGATGAAACGAAAAGATGTTAAATGGGTTTTACGTCACCCGACTGAGGAAAGCTCATCAACAAGCTTCAAGGTGAAAGCTGATGAGACGTGGACGACTGACCTATTGTGGGTCGCTCCTCACAGTCTCTGCCCGGGCGCTCGGTGTGGAAGACCCTGACCATTTTGTCAAACCCGCAGTAGAGCTGCGCGCCATCTGGAGAGAAGCACAGCGAGTGAGCTGCCGTCAGCTCGTCCAGGTGATTGTAGGGTCGGAAGCTGGCTCGCACCTCCCCGTAAAATGCATCCCACACATGGACGGGGTTGTCACGGCTACTGCTGGCTAGACTGAAGAAGAGGAGGTTGAAATAAATAAATATGAATGAATGAATGATTTAGAAATTAATGAGATAAACAAACTGAGCTAACGGAGGGAACAACTAACATGCACTGCAAAACAAACATACAGCTACATGCTTCGCCTCATTATGAAGACAAGGCCGCAGCACATTCTTATTGATCCGCATCAGGGCCAAAGACTGAACCATAACTTTTTAACTCTAATTATTGAGCACCGAACAAATGCTGAAACATCACTGCCGCTCAATTAGACAAAGGAAATTAGCCCCCGCCGCTGCTGCCGTGTTCTGTTATGGCCCCTGTGAGCCGCGGCTTTATTCCAGAGCAGGGAAATGCCCAATTATAATGCTAGACTGCTGCTAGCTTGGAGCCATGCCTAGAACTCAGCGCAACTTAACCGAGCCATAACAGGGGCCCTTATTCCCTCTCTACAGGAGGGGCATCAACAACACACGGCTTTTGGCAGGCAGATAGTTCAAGGAGCGCAGAGGGAGAAACAAAGCAGCAATGTAAAAAGAGGGAGAGAAAGGGTAAGCAGGAGACATGGCTCTCCTGCTTCGCTAGATGTTTTCTTTTAATCGTCACAACCGCAATCTTTTATATGACTACTACAGTCACTCGGTGTACTCTGCCCGACCACCTGACTGCGCCCTGCAGGAGCTCCTGTTTGATAGATGGCAGCGATCTGAAGACAATCACGAGTGTTTGCTGTCAGTTTCCATCAGCATTTGGATTATAGACACGACTCGAGCGCTTCGCTGCCCGCAAGACTTTTGTTGATGATTTTGGTTTGTCCAGCTCCAGACGCTCACCCACTAACATGGTGAAAGCTGTACGATGTGAGGATGTCGGTGCCAGTTCTGGGCCTTGATCCACTCAACTGCGCGAGGGTCTGACTGAAGGATGATGGGAGTTGGGGGAGTTGGGGCTGAAGGGTAACACACCACGAAAACTGCTGGCAACCTGACCTCGGCTCATTAGCTCAGCCTTACTTCTCTCACCGCAGACGATAAGCAGCCTTCGCAGCGACGGCTGGATGCTGCTGATGCCAACTTTCCTTCACAGCACACACACCAACACTCAGTGATGTCATAATTGCCACATACGTGCTAGAGTGCACCCTTCTAAACACAAAAAAAGGAGAAGGAGATGAAAAGCAAAGCCTCGAGTCAGGGATTCACGAGGCCCTTTAGGTGTTGTCTGGACTCAGGAGTGCTGTTAGCGGGCTGAATCGCACTGTGGGCCTCAAACAGGCGAGCGGATTGCGACGCGGCGGACGAGACGCAGGCCAACTCTTCGCTGGTAATGAGAGACATCAGAAAGCTTTTAAAGCTTCCCTCCTTGCAGGCAGCCAGCTTCCACAACCGCTGCACATACCTCTGGGATCAAAGAATGAGACACAAGACTACAACAAAATCTTCTGTATTCAGACAGTCTATTAGACACACTGCAGCACAAAGAAAAGCCGACAAATTCACCAGGAACCCGATCCAACCACCCGAGATTAGAAACTGATACAAAACACAACCCGGTGCTTTTTTCAGTGTATACACATTTCACCGTCTCCGAGGTGGACTTGAAGCGAGAGGCTTAGGGAACGGTTTGAAAAAGACCAGGTTCAGCTCACAAGCACGTGTCCGGCTCCAAAGAGTTCATTTTGGGGTACCAGCAGTAGTCGTAGATGGTGTCTCCTTCTGCCATCCGCAGCACTGGACTCTAGCAGAGAATAAAAGAAAAGACAGACAGTAACAGAGGGACTGAGACCTCCTGCATTAAGAAATGTAGGCCAAAGGCACTGGCTGGATCCATCAGCTCTGAGGCTGACACTAAATAAGTGGCTACCCAGAAAAATTCAATTTCAAAAGCCAGTGGAAGCATGTGAGAAACAGAGCAATCAACAGTCAATCTTCTCCTCTCATTACAAAGGCTGCGAGATTTCAACTAGAGAAAATGGATTATATTTCAATTATTTTTGTTCAGTGATCCCAATCAAACCAGCTTGTAATACAATTAAAAGATTGGCTCACTACTTGACATTTCGCCCCGACCAAAACACAAAGTCCATTTTATTCCCACAGATTAATCTTCACTAACGCGTTTTATCAGGCAGACGGTCTTAAAGGATTTCTGTTTATTGTAACAAAAAGCAAAACTGACGTCTAGTAATAACCTTCATAAACATCATAAACAGGGAAGCTCCAGATTTGACTGAGACCGCTGACCTTTACAAATGAAGGAGTCTTTATAGCTACGTTCATCTTTCAACTGAATTTAAATCCATAAAATAATGAATATTTGCTCTAACATTTGTTTGTTGCTTTCTCATTTCCCGTCGCCTGTCCGGCCCCCGATGGCAAGCTATTTGTGTACTCACCATTTCAGGAAGCAAGTCCCAGTTGTAGCTGTAAATCTCTGGAGGGATGTTGTACACTCGGAGGACATTGTCTGCACTGTTTGTCAGGATACAAGAACCATCAGGAGCCCTAGGTAAGAGGAAGAGAAGGGATGACAGATCATTAAAGACTAGAACAACAAGTACTCGGGCTGGGTTTGTGTGCATGTTAAAGTAACACAAAACACACATATAATACTAAAATATATGCAGCTGCACTATAGCATGTAAGCAGCTCGCACACAGACAACTGTATTTATAGCATTAATTAAAGAAAAGTTCATTAACTCTTTCCCCCATAAACCCCATAAACATGTGACCTCCCCGTACCCGCAATGACGTGTTTTGACCCCTCAGCATATCGCAATAAAGATGTGGTTTGACAACTGTATAGGTCTGTATAGGCAGACACCACCCACACTAACTTCCCGGTCCTTGTGTTCTATAAGCAGACCTGAAATCTGAAAGAATCGGCTCTTTTCTGAAAAGAGTTTAAAACAAAAACACAGCTTCACTGGGCCCCTGTAGAGCCTTCAGGGGTAAAGAGGCTCAACAGGGGTAAAAAGTTAAACCTGTATACTCCTGAGTGAGCCAGCAGCCCCCCTCTCGTTACAAAAACAAGTCAAAATGTTGACAATGCTGTGACAAAATAATGCATCAACTCCACTGACCTGGAAACTTAGTAAACACTTTTGCTATGATTTTAGGAGCTCCATCTCT